CTAGATGCTGATGCCTGTAAAGATTCTCAGTCATCCCGGTCATGGTCAAGCTTGAAAAGTTCAGTTTAGGAAACTGGACATGAAGTTGCTGATGCAGATGTCAGGACCTCCAGCAGACATTTGGTGAAAGCTGGTTCCATCCTGGACAGGTTCTGATGCCTGAATAAAGCCTAAAGCAAACTGTCTGTAGTGTGCTGGTGTGTGACATAAAGTACTAAACATAGAATTAGATCTTTGTGGTTTACATCAGAACATCAAATCCTTGCCATAAAAAAGACACATACAAAACCACAATGGAGCGACCACTGAAATGCCATTTGCGAGACCTGGTCCACTTCTCCCCATACCAGCAGCTGACCAGCAGAGCTGGCTTGATGCCAGATCTAACCCAGAGCTGTGTGCCATGTGGACGGGGTTAGAAAATGAACCACAGGTTACAGGATCCACTGGGTGGTAATGAATGTTGAACCTGTATTAACATCATAATCTCTCCTGGACATGTGGGTTCAAATTCCACTTCTGACAGTTTGCTTCCCTTGCTTGTGTTGTTGCTGTCTTTTACTTTTAAAATTGGTTCCATATGTTAAAAACGTGCTTAAATCCTGAAGACAGATGCTCTCTAAATTGTGTCTGAATATCAGAGATTGGCTTCTAGAATGATTGCCGTTGGTCATTCTCAGTTCTGAGATATCAAAGAACACAGAATGTTCAGACATTCCAGATGCAGATTTAGCTTGTTCTGACACATTCTGTTGTTCTTTTCAGAACACACGTCCCTTCCACAAGCTCCCTTTGGTTTAACTGTTCACTGATTGGAGGAATGCTCAAGCAGGGATCAAGCACTAATTAGGGGGGCCACAGCCGTAGGCAAGGCCCACCTATTACTCTTCGTCATATTTATTCCGTCACTTATTATCGTTCTCCCGTTTCCGCGGACCGCTTCTCGTCCCGCACGGTTCGACGGATCGGGCCCAAAGTCGGCACGCGCGTTCGGCACGCGCGTTCGGACCCACCTAGCCATGCGTGCTTGTTAAAAACTTTCTCAAAGGAGCGTGCGTTTCCGAGTAAACGGCGAAGAAGTGGCGAGTGTTTTCCCATAGGAATGCATGGGGGCCGCCGACAAACGGGCACAAAAAAAGCCGAAAGATGAGGCCCGTCAGGGCCTCATCGCTCTGGCCCACGACGTCCGAGAGACGTCGTTCGAACATTGAACGGGACACGAAAGACGTGCCTCCGCCATATCGGAGCCACGAGGCAAGATCTCGCACCGTTTGCCCGCAATCGCTGTTGACGTTGTAGTGAAAATCACAAAATCTTAGAATTTTCCCCTCACTCTAGCTATGCTCGTTAAAGCCACTGGGAGGCGTTCACCAAAACAAAAGTCAAACTATTGCCCCTCGCAACCAAACCGTGGGGCCGAGCGGTGCCAAAATGGCCTCAAAACGTAGCCGTGAGTGTCCTCTTTCGCCCGATGTGCCCGCTTTCGACCTCGGCCTTACGGTTTTCCGGCAATCGGGCCCAGAGTCCAGACTTTCCCGACCCTCTCTAATAGGATTTCAATGGAAGAATTTTAAGAAAATCTGATCAACTGCCAAATCGGACCTCATTTTGAAATTGCCATAAAAAAATAACCGGTTGCCGCAGCCGAAAATAAAATACACCGACTTCGACCTTAAACTCTGTAGGCGCTCACGGTCCAATAATTTTCCAGTTTGGTGAAATAGTTTTTGAACAGCGTGCAGTAGTTCGGAGGATACTGTTGATCCATCTGTCAGTTGGGTCTGTGTCAGTGATGAGTCACAGGTGTGGCAGTTTAGAATGTTCAGAATTGGCACCAGGCTGCTGTCGCCGTGGCGACCAACAGAGACCCACAGCAGCCCTGTGGGTCTCTGCAGGGCTCTGTGCTACTGGCAAAAAGCGGGCGAAGCCCGCTTTCAGTGATTTTTTAAGAAATACAATATTTTTTGTTACCATGGCGGGCTTCGCTCGCTTAGAGGGCTTTAGTCAGAGCCCGGTTCTGGTTCTGGTTCTAGGGATCGGACCCAACCGGGTCGGAACCGGACCGGGGCCCTGTCATACTCCTGGTTCAAGGCGGGCGAAGCCCGTTCTCAATGATTTTTAAAGAAATACGTTATTTGTGATTCAAGGCGGGCGAAGCCCGCTTAGAGGGCTTTAGTCAGAGCCCGGTTCTGGTTCTGGTTCTAGGGATAGGACCCAACCGGATCGGAAAACCGGACCGGGGCCATGTCATACCTCGTTGCGTAGGTCTTTTTCTCAGCTTTCAGCCAACGTGACCCCCGACCTGCCCACCCCATCCGCATTCGGTCAGCGGGCCCAAGAGCTCAGCCGAGTCCCTCCATCTCTGCGTCTCTCCCTCAGGCCCTCTCATAGGCGCGAGCCCACATTACAGAGAGCCCAAATATGGATTGGCCGACCCGCCCCGGGTTCCCGGACGGGCAGCGGGTGGCCCCCCTCCAAAATTTCTTCCAGTTACTGAGCTGTCAACCACCATTCCTGTGCTGCAGGTCAAAGTGTCCAAAAAGAGGAACAAGAACATTTCATTTTCACCTCATTCCCCAAGGTTTGGTCAGAATGCACCAAGGAACACATCCACACAACCCTGTCTGATACAATCACAGTATTCAGTACATTTCAGAAAGAAGGGGGCACCCAGAGTTGAACTGGGGACCTGTTGATCTGCAGTCAAATGCTCTACCACTGAGCTACACCCCCACCTCTGGATGCTTAAAGACTAACTTATATAACTGAACATGATTTGCTCAATAGATTTTTCTCCACTTCTGTAGTCTCTGATCAGCTCCAGTCAGATAATGTGCCCACAGCTACCCTTTTCCTTCATTGGCAGCCAATGGGGAGGGGCGGGGTCGCCCTGGACGGCAACATCACAAACACCATTGATTAATTCATTCAATGCTTCAGACACCTATGCCAGAGTCTCGTTATAACCATGCTGTACGGTTTACATTTATTGTCCACTTGATGGCACAATAGAGCAAATGAAGCACCATGAAGCGTCAACACACGAGTAAACCAATTGGATAGAACGCTTCAATGCTTTATGAATCTTCATTTTGCCATAACTGCTATTTGGAAAATGCCATATTTTTAGCAACTGTGTGGTTTGTCGAAATTGTTGTTTTTCATGTCTTTCATGGAGTTCTGGTGCTAGCTAAATGTTGCTGTGTCACATCCCAAGGTCAACCCTATTGAAATGGTTTTGTTATGTTATTGGACTCAATACCGCCTGTTCACTCTTCCTGTTTACTCTGCATTAAGTTTGTTTTATGCTGTTTAGTGTCCAACTCGGTATTTGATGCCTGATGTTGTCCAAATGTGAATGTTTTCATAAACTCCTGTCCTGTTGTAGTGAGCTGCACAGTGGCGGAATCCAGAAACCGTACTACGTGGTCTATGTGTGTTTCTTAACCCGTGTTCTATGAACCCTGGGGTTTGATGAGTCGGTCTCAGGGGCTGGGCGGAGCCTCTGCTGGAGCTAAAGCAACTCTAGTCTCACACCGGCAAAACTAAAGGAACACTTCTTATTTTGGCTGTAAAAAAGGATTTCGTGGATTCAAAAAGAACATATTCAATTTAAAAAAGTAATTATTAGTAAAATAGTTTTTTTTAAAACTGGAAGCTGAAATCATTCACATTTGGACAACATCAGGTATCAAAAACAGAGTTGGACATTAAACAGCATAAAACAAACTTAAAGCAGAGTAAACAGGAAGACTGACAGCTACTGCCAAAGACAAAGACAGAACAGTAGTTCTATTTCATCCCTACTGACCGCCAGAGGCGGTGCTTCAAGCACTGAATGATCATTCTTGCGCATGCGCAGGTCGAGTACTAATGACAACAACGTCACCTGTGACCTGCCGGGGACCCACGTGACTCTATATAGTCACGTGGCACCCGGCAATCAATCCCTCAAACTTCTCGCGAAAGCAGAGATTCCGAGGGACCAAGCACTCTGGCGGTCATCCGGGATTCATAGAACCATAGTTACGGTAGTAACTTTCGTTCTATTTCATCCCTACTGACCGCCAGAGGCGGTGCTTCAAGCACTGGATGACTCATATCAACAAGGTCACGAGGAATCAGCAACAAGGAACCGCGACTACACCACCCACCTAACGTGATGTAGAGGCATGCTGCTCCAAAATTCCTTGAAGCGGATGGGGCGCAGCCACATTCACCCTGTAGAACCGAGTAAAGGTACTAGGTGATTTCCAGGAGGCCGCACGGCATATAACATCCAATGGCACCCCAGTCATGGCAGCAAACGACGTCGACATGCCCCTTGTAGAGTGGCACTTCACTCCTGCCGGCAGTGGCCGGTCCTGCGAGGCATAAGCCTTGGAGATCACATCCACCACCCAGTGTGCAAGTCGCTGCTTGGAAAGTGCCTGACCTTTCCGTGAGCCAGCGTAGCAAACAAAAAGACTATTTGTCTTTCGGAAGGATGCCGTGGCATTGACATATGTCTCAAGGGCACGAACAGGACACAGTGGTTCAGAGGGGCTTCCGGTGTCAAGCCGAGCAAGATGGAGCGGCTGGGTACTGCCAGCCGCCGGTGACACCTTAGGAACAAACGCTACGTCAGACCACAGTGTAACCCCTGAGCCATCAGGATTCCACCGGCAGCAGGGCTCGGCTATCGAGAGAGCCTGTAATTCCCCCACACGTTTCGCAGAAACCATAGCTAAAAGGAACGCCGTCTTTAGTGAGAGCCATTTGAGGTCTGCCGATGCCAGGGGCTCAAATGGGAGGGACCGAAGAGCCTCAAGCACAAGAGAAAGGTCCCATGCCGGTGCCACAGGGCGGTTGGGTGGGTGCAAACGCCGAGCACCCCTTAAAAACAGGACAACATCTTTGTCTCGGCCCACAGAAAAACCATACAGCCCAACATGCCAACAGGAAATGGCAGCCACATACACCTTTAAGGTAGATGGAGACCGTCCTTGATCCAGCAATGCCTGCAGGAAGGCCAGTATGTCAGAAACTGAACACTGCACCGGGTCCTGCCCTCTATCACGGCACCAGGTCGCGAAGACCGTCCACTTGTTAGCATAGACAGCTCGCGTGGACGGGGCCCATGCATTAGCCATCGTATGCCCTATGGACCCAGAGTACCTTGAGAAGGTGGACCCCGGCCTTGCAGGGGCCAAACCCAGAGCTGGAGCCGGTCCGGTTCGGGGTGCAGAATCTGACCCCCCACCTGGGAAAGAAGATCTCTCCTGGAGGGGAGACGCATTGGCGAGCCGGAGCTGAGCTCGCACAGTAGAGGAAACCAAGTCCTCGCTGGCCAGTAGGGGGCCACCAGCAGAACCCTGTGCCTCTCCTGACGCCCCCTGAGGAGAGTCTGGAAAAGGAGGCTGAATGGCGGAAAGGCATAAAGGAGGGTCCGGGGCCAGTCGTGTGCCAGGGCATCGCGGCCCAGAGGGCTGGTGTTGTCCAATGAGAACCACAGGGGACAGTGAAACGCGTCCCTTGAGGCAAAGAGGTCCACGGCCGCCTTGCCAAAGACCTTCCAGATGCGGTCCACTACCTCCTGGTGAAGCTTCCACTCCCCTGGGAGCGGCTTCTGACGGGATAGAAAATCTGCTGGCACGTTCTCCGGCCCTGGGATGTAGGCTGCTCTGAGGCTGGCCATGCATGGAGCTGCCCAGGTCAGAAGCCGTCGAGTCAAGCACAACAGTTTCCTTGACCTGGTTCCCCCCTGGTGGTTGATGTGAAAAACCACTGCGGTGTTGTCTGACCTCACCAGCACATGCTTCCCCCGCAAGCCTGGGAGAAAGCTCTGAAGAGCCAGAAATAAAGCCTGTAACTCCAGGACATTGATGTGTTCCCTGCTCTGCCGCTGGGACCATGTCCCCTGTGCCATTTGACCCCGCCAGGTCGCACCCCAGCCCGTGGAGGATGCATCCGTAAACACAACTTCCCGACGACACGGGAGGGAACCGAGCGGGACCCCTGTGGTCATAAACAACCTCACCCTCCATTGGGACAGAGACTGAAGACACTGAGGCCCCACCCGAAGTCTGCGGAGACGATGAGTGTTCCGTGCGGGATCCAGATTCAAGCTGTTCAACCACATCTGGAGGGGCCGCAATGACAGCAGCCCCAAGGGCACTACGGCAGACGCCGCTGTAAGCATGCCCAAAAGTCGAAGGTACCGCACAAGAGGCGGTGCCATGCCACGCCTGAATTCCGGGAGCATGCCCAATATACTGTCCACCCGCTGGGGTGACGGGCAAGCAGTCATCGAGATGGAATCCATGGCAATGCCCAGGAAGACAGTCTCCTGTGAGGGGGTCAGACTGCTCTTCTCCATGTTCACCTGCAAGCCCAAGCATCCCACATGATGGAGCACTAACTGAGTATCCCGAACCGCCTGGTCCCGCGTCGCGGCACAAACGAGCCAGTCGTCCAGATACGGGAGGATCCTTAATCCTTGTGCCTGCAGAGGAGAGAGGGCCGCTGCAACACATCGGGTGAACACCCTGGGAGACAGTGAAAGTCCGAACGGGAGGACCCTGAACTGGAAATGCCTCCCTTGAACAGCAAAACGAAGAAACCGCCAATGGGGCGGAGCGATTGGGACGTGAAAATAAGCATCCCTGAGATCTATGGAAGTGAACCAATCGCCCGGGGAAATCGCCTGCAACACTTCCTTGGTGGTCAGCATATGAAAGGGCATGACCTTCAAGTACACATTCAGGCCCCTGAGGTCCAAGACTGGACGCAGGCCCCCGGTCTTCTTCGGAACCAGAAAATACATGGAATAAAAGCCCCCTGGATCCAGCAGGGGGTCCACAGGCACTATAGCACCCTTGGCCAGCAAGGTGCAGATTTCTTGGTTCAGTGCCTGTGCCTTCACCGGGTCGCGGATCACAGTCATCCTGACCCGGCCAGGGATAGGTGGCCGGCGGCGGAATTGAAGACGGTACCCCCGGGACAGGGTGGACAACACCCACAAGTCCGGGGTGTGGGCAGCCCAGAAGCTGAGCCGTCCCGGGGAAAAATAACCGACCGCCGGCCCTAAGGCATCACCTGCGGGCCCCCCGGCCCTTCGAAGGCCCGGGAGGACGCCGGCCAGACTGCGCGGCTCGAAAGGGATGAAAGGACCTCGTCCCAGCTTGGTCTCGAGCTCTGTTTCTCCGATCTGGAGCAGGTCTCTGGACTGATCCCTGACCTGGTACCAGCCCCTGGGGCTCGGTGGAAGAAGGAGAAGGCCCTGAGGACCTCCGTGAAGGACCCGCAGCCGCCCAGGTGCCGACTGGCTGGCGATCACGTCTGTGAAGCCCTGCCAGCTGTCGCCTCGTCCTAGAAGCCTGAGCTGTACGGTCCAAGGCGTCCAGTGCCGCAGAACCAAAAAGTTCCCCCGGAACCACAGGCAGGGCCCGGAGGGTCCTCCTACAAGGCTCAGTAAGCGGTGACTGCGCCAGCCAGACCTGGCGGCGAGCGTGAACCAGTGTGGACAGTGTGCGTCCAAGTTCCCTCGTCATAAGAGCAAAGGCCTGCAGAGATGCATCAATCAGGCCTTGCGTGGCATGATCCAGTGGAACAGATTCCAAGGAGGAAGACAGGGCCAGCATAAGATGGGATAGAGAGTTCCCAATCCGGCCCATGCAGGCCCCAGAGTCATAGGCCTTGCAGAGAAGGTCATCAGTAATACGGCACGGAGGACGCGGACAACGGGCATTGGGCCGCAAAGCCTCATCGGGTGGGATAATAAGAGAGGCAATGCCCGGTTCCACCGCTGGCATCTGCCCCAAGCCAACCTTGGGTGCCTCCTGCATAGCTGCCAGGACCCTGCCATCCGTCGTCAGACGTGAAAGCGCCTTGGTGTCTGACCAGCAAGCATGGAGTTCCTGCACATACTCCGCCGAGGGAGGAACCATAAAGGCAGTCTCTGACCTACTGCGCTTAAAGAAGGCGCTGGAAGCCGTAGGCTGGGCCTGAGGAACACCAATCTGTAAACGGGCAAGAGCCGTTCGAATAGCGGATGTCACAGATTCAGCCGTATCCTCCTGGGAGGCAATGGAGTCCGACCCAGAGGCCCCGGAGCCCAGCTCCGGCAGGTCCGCACAGAAATGGGTGCCAGAGGCCGCCACAGAAACAGCATCATCGTCATTGACTGACATTACGTCTTGCTCGGGAGGGAGAGCCGCGCCGCGATCATCAGCAGTCTGAAAGGACTGGAGGAGGGCTTTCATTTGGGCCAGCTCAGTAGTGAGATGATCCACTCTCGTGGACAACCTCCCTGCATCGGTCCGTCCGGCCCGCTTCGGCGGTACCGAACGTGCAGCCACAGTAGACCGTTTGCACCTCGCCTTTCCCATCGGCAAATGAGTCCGCGGCGCAGCGCCCGCCCAGTCGGTAGGCTGCTCCAGCGCAGCCAAACGATCCAGTCTGACTGACCGGGGCATGACGCAACAGTTGGGGCAAGCGTTATCTGACAGCGCCTCCCGGAGGTGTTCCACACCGAGGCAGGAGGGACACAAGTCATGCCCGTCGTCGGGCTGAAGTGGAGCCAGACAGGTCGAGCAGCACAAATTATCCAGCATCATACTGCTGAAAGGCGTGAGTAGCCCGCCACCAACAAGAAGTCAACACGAGCAGAAAACGCTACCGGCGACTCCGTTGTAGAAAAACCCCCGTAGGAGGCTCCCAACTCAGCATGAGCAGAAACGCCACTAGCAAATCGATAATCAACCAAAGATGAACTCAACACGAGCAGAGACGCCACTGGTGAGTCAGATAAACAACAGCAAAGTAAAACGGACTCAGCACGAGCAGAAAACGCCACTGGTGAGTGCAGATAAACAAGCTGTAGAAGAACCCAACGCGAGCAGAAAACGCTACTGGTGAGTGTAGGCAAACAAACTATTGAAGAACTCCACGCGAGCAGAAAACGCTACTGGTGAGTGTAGGCAAACAAACTATAGAAGAACTCCACGCGAGCAGAAACGCTACTGGCGAGTGCAGGTAACAACTCAGCGCGAGCAGAGACGCTATCGGTGAGTCTAGATAAACAAACTGAAAACAACTCAGCGCGAGCAGAGACGCTATCGGCGAGTCTAGATAAACAAACTGAAAACAACTCAGCGCGAGCAGAAACGCTACTGTGAGTCAAAAAGAGCCACAAAAGTGGCAAATCAAAGCGAACAGTAGCGTTTCTGCTCGCGCTGAGTTGTTTTCAGTTTGTTTATCTAGACTCGCCGATAGCGTCTCTGCTCGCGCTGAGTTGTTTTCAGTTTGTTTATCTAGACTCACCGATAGCGTCTCTGCTCGCGCTGAGTTGTTACCTGCACTCGCCAGTAGCGTTTCTGCTCGCGTGGAGTTCTTCTATAGTTTGTTTGCCTACACTCACCAGTAGCGTTTTCTGCTCGCGTGGAGTTCTTCAATAGTTTGTTTGCCTACACTCACCAGTAGCGTTTTCTGCTCGCGTTGGGTTCTTCTACAGCTTGTTTATCTGCACTCACCAGTGGCGTTTTCTGCTCGTGCTGAGTCCGTTTTACTTTGCTGTTGTTTATCTGACTCACCAGTGGCGTCTCTGCTCGTGTTGAGTTCATCTTTGGTTGATTATCGATTTGCTAGTGGCGTTTCTGCTCATGCTGAGTTGGGAGCCTCCTACGGGGGTTTTTCTACAACGGAGTCGCCGGTAGCGTTTTCTGCTCGTGTTGACTTCTTGTTGGTGGCGGGCTACTCACGCCTTTCAGCAGTATGATGCTGGATAATTTGTGCTGCTCGACCTGTCTGGCTCCACTTCAGCCCGACGACGGGCATGACTTGTGTCCCTCCTGCCTCGGTGTGGAACACCTCCGGGAGGCGCTGTCAGATAACGCTTGCCCCAACTGTTGCGTCATGCCCCGGTCAGTCAGACTGGATCGTTTGGCTGCGCTGGAGCAGCCTACCGACTGGGCGGGCGCTGCGCCGCGGACTCATTTGCCGATGGGAAAGGCGAGGTGCAAACGGTCTACTGTGGCTGCACGTTCGGTACCGCCGAAGCGGGCCGGACGGACCGATGCAGGGAGGTTGTCCACGAGAGTGGATCATCTCACTACTGAGCTGGCCCAAATGAAAGCCCTCCTCCAGTCCTTTCAGACTGCTGATGATCGCGGCGCGGCTCTCCCTCCCGAGCAAGACGTAATGTCAGTCAATGACGATGATGCTGTTTCTGTGGCGGCCTCTGGCACCCATTTCTGTGCGGACCTGCCGGAGCTGGGCTCCGGGGCCTCTGGGTCGGACTCCATTGCCTCCCAGGAGGATACGGCTGAATCTGTGACATCCGCTATTCGAACGGCTCTTGCCCGTTTACAGATTGGTGTTCCTCAGGCCCAGCCTACGGCTTCCAGCGCCTTCTTTAAGCGCAGTAGGTCAGAGACTGCCTTTATGGTTCCTCCCTCGGCGGAGTATGTGCAGGAACTCCATGCTTGCTGGTCAGACACCAAGGCGCTTTCACGTCTGACGACGGATGGCAGGGTCCTGGCAGCTATGCAGGAGGCACCCAAGGTTGGCTTGGGGCAGATGCCAGCGGTGGAACCGGGCATTGCCTCTCTTATTATCCCACCCGATGAGGCTTTGCGGCCCAATGCCCGTTGTCCGCGTCCTCAGTGCCGTATTACTGATGACCTTCTCTGCAAGGCCTATGACTCTGGGGCCCGCATGGGCCGGATTGGGAACTCTCTATCCCATCTTATGCTGGCCCTGTCTTCCTCCTTGGAATCTGTTCCACTGGATCATGCCACGCAAGGCCTGGTTGATGCATCTCTGCAGGCCTTTGCTCTTATGACGAGGGAACTTGGACGCACACTGTCCACACTGGTTCACGCTCGCCGCCAGGTCTGGCTGGCGCAGTCACCGCTTACTGAGCCTTGTAGGAGGACCCTCCGGGCCCTGCCTGTGGTTCCGGGGGAACTTTTTGGTTCTGCGGCACTGGACGCCTTGGACCGTACAGCTCAGGCTTCTAGGACGAGGCGACAGCTGGCAGGGCTTCACAGACGTGATCGCCAGCGAGTCAGCACCTGGGCGGCTGCGGGTCCTTCACGGAGGTCCTCAGGGCCTTCTCCTTCTTCCACCGAGCCCCAGGGGCTGGTACCAGGTCAGGGATCGGTCCAGAGACCTGCTCCAGATCGGAGAAACAGAGCTCGAGACCAAGCTGGGACGAGGTCCTTTCATCCCTTTCGAGCCGCGCAGTCTGGCCGGCGTCCTCCCGGGCCTTCGAAGGGCCGGGGGGCCCGCAGGTGATGCCTTAGGGCCGGCGGTCGGTTATTTTTCCCCGGGACGGCTCAGCTTCTGGGCTGCCCACACCCCGGACTTGTGGGTGTTGTCCACCCTGTCCCGGGGGTACCGTCTTCAATTCCGCCGCCGGCCACCTATCCCTGGCCGGGTCAGGATGACTGTGATCCGCGACCCGGTGAAGGCACAGGCACTGAACCAAGAAATCTGCACCTTGCTGGCCAAGGGTGCTATAGTGCCTGTGGACCCCCTGCTGGATCCAGGGGGCTTTTATTCCATGTATTTTCTGGTTCCGAAGAAGACCGGGGGCCTGCGTCCAGTCTTGGACCTCAGGGGCCTGAATGTGTACTTGAAGGTCATGCCCTTTCATATGCTGACCACCAAGGAAGTGTTGCAGGCGATTTCCCCGGGCGATTGGTTCACTTCCATAGATCTCAGGGATGCTTATTTTCACGTCCCAATCGCTCCGCCCCATTGGCGGTTTCTTCGTTTTGCTTTTCAAGGGAGGCATTTCCAGTTCAGGGTCCTCCCGTTCGGACTTTCACTGTCTCCCAGGGTGTTCACCCGATGTGTTGCAGCGGCCCTCTCTCCTCTGCAGGCACAAGGATTAAGGATCCTCCCGTATCTGGACGACTGGCTCGTTTGTGCCGCGACGCGGGACCAGGCGGTTCGGGATACTCAGTTAGTGCTCCATCATGTGGGATGCTTGGGCTTGCAGGTGAACATGGAGAAGAGCAGTCTGACCCCCTCACAGGAGACTGTCTTCCTGGGCATTGCCATGGATTCCATCTCGATGACTGCTTGCCCGTCACCCCAGCGGGTGGACAGTATATTGGGCATGCTCCCGGAATTCAGGCGTGGCATGGCACCGCCTCTTGTGCGGTACCTTCGACTTTTGGGCATGCTTACAGCGGCGTCTGCCGTAGTGCCCTTGGGGCTGCTGTCATTGCGGCCCCTCCAGATGTGGTTGAACAGCTTGAATCTGGATCCCGCACGGAACACTCATCGTCTCCGCAGACTTCGGGTGGGGCCTCAGTGTCTTCAGTCTCTGTCCCAATGGAGGGTGAGGTTGTTTATGACCACAGGGGTCCCGCTCGGTTCCCTCCCGTGTCGTCGGGAAGTTGTGTTTACGGATGCATCCTCCACGGGCTGGGGTGCGACCTGGCGGGGTCAAATGGCACAGGGGACATGGTCCCAGCGGCAGAGCAGGGAACACATCAATGTCCTGGAGTTACAGGCTGTATTTCTGGCTCTTCAGAGCTTTCTCCCAGGCTTGCGGGGGAAGCATGTGCTGGTGAGGTCAGACAACACCGCAGTGGTTTTTCACATCAACCACCAGGGGGGAACCAGGTCAAGGAAACTGTTGTGCTTGACTCGACGGCTTCTGACCTGGGCAGCTCCATGCATGGCCAGCCTCAGAGCAGCCTACATCCCAGGGCCGGAGAACGTGCCAGCAGATTTTCTATCCCGTCAGAAGCCGCTCCCAGGGGAGTGGAAGCTTCACCAGGAGGTAGTGGACCGCATCTGGAAGGTCTTTGGCAAGGCGGCCGTGGACCTCTTTGCCTCAAGGGACGCGTTTCACTGTCCCCTGTGGTTCTCATTGGACAACACCAGCCCTCTGGGCCGCGATGCCCTGGCACACGACTGGCCCCGGACCCTCCTTTATGCCTTTCCGCCATTCAGCCTCCTTTTCCAGACTCTCCTCAGGGTGCGTCAGGAGAGGCACAGGGTTCTGCTGGTGGCCCCCTACTGGCCAGCGAGGACTTGGTTTCCTCTACTGTGCGAGCTCAGCTCCGGCTCGCCAATGCGTCTCCCCTCCAGGAGAGATCTTCTTTCCCAGGTGGGGGGTCAGATTCTGCACCCCGAACCGGACCGGCTCCAGCTCTGGGTTTGGCCCCTGCAAGGCCGGGGTCCACCTTCTCAAGGTACTCTGGGTCCATAGGGCATACGATGGCTAATGCATGGGCCCCGTCCACGCGAGCCGTCTATGCTAACAAGTGGACGGTCTTCGCGACCTGGTGCCGTGATAGAGGGCAGGACCCGGTGCAGTGTTCAGTTTCTGACATACTGGCCTTCCTGCAGGCATTGCTGGATCAAGGACGGTCTCCATCTACCTTAAAGGTGTATGTGGCTGCCATTTCCTGTTGGCATGTTGGGCTGAATGGTTTTTCTGTGGGCCGAGACAAAGATGTTGTCCTGTTTTTAAGGGGTGCTCGGCGTTTGCACCCACCCAACCGCCCTGTGGCACCGGCATGGGACCTTTCTCTTGTGCTTGAGGCTCTTCGGTCCCTCCCATTTGAGCCCCTGGCATCGGCAGACCTCAAATGGC